TCCCTTGGAAGTTAAACAAGAACGACCAAGGAGAAGACCAACAGTATTAGGAGGGATCGGGCCAAAAATTCCTGTGGATACACAGAGGTGGAATTCTCCAAGGAGCAATAAAATATCCTGTGCTGTACAGACATCGACTGCAGCACTCCCTTCCGTGGCTGGACTTAATTGTTGGACATTAAGTCTAGAATGGGCATTGTCTGATAATTTTGAAGCATCTCCTGTGCCATATATGCCCCGGTTCTTGTCTGGGCCTGGGGCTGGCCCCTTCTCCCATTTCCTGGAAGCAGAGTGCCATTTCTATTATAAATTGACCTGCATTCTGAAGACCAATGATTTCCTTTTTTGGCATTTAGGACATAGTCCGGGCTGTCTGGGTTCCCTAAGAGCTGTGGTATTAGATGTGTGGAAACTGTTTCTATTTTTCTTTCTACACTCTCTTCTTGTATGACCAGATTTCCCACAATTATAACAACTTCCTGGGAATTTATTCTGTCTGATTTCTATTCCTGCCATTGCTTGAGCTAACATCACAACCTTAAATTGCTCTGTTCCCATTCCTTGGCATAAACGAATATAACCTGACAGATCAGTCTTTCCTTTCATTGGCCCAATAGCCTTTTTACAATCATCGTTTGCATTATCAAAGGCAAGGATTTGTTGAATGATTTAAGCTGCTTGCAAATTAGTTACCTGCTTCCTTATTGCATCTTGCAAGCAGGCTACAAATTCTATATACGATTCAGTTGGACCTTGCAGGATTTTTTTAAAAAGACTTTGGAGCCTGACCATCTGTTTCTATTTTTTCCCATGCATTTAAGCAAATCCTTTTTAATTGAGCTATAGCCTAATTATCCATAACTAGCTGATTCCGGATGCTTTCCCAGTTATTCGTCCCTAGGGGCTGATCTTGAGAAATAGCAATATTATGCGACTGGTTGTATCTACTCTGGGTTTCCACTTCGTCTGTCCATCAAGTTTTAAATTGTAAAAGTTGAGCAGGCAAAAGGCATGTCTGAGCCATTGTACACCAATCTATAGGAATTAAATGATTTCCATCAGCCAAATTACGAATTATGCCTAGGGTGAATGGCAAAGTAGGACATACTGAGTTACAGTAAGTTTTAATTCTTTCAATATCTTAAAAGAAAAAGCCTCATACTGAGGTTCATAAACTCCGTTTGTGTTTTGAGGATCTCTACCAGGAGCAGCAACATGCTCATGAAGTATAACAGGAAAAGCTAAAGCTTCCAAATCGCCCTCCAGACGCGCCTGCCTAGTGGCTCTTTCTACCGCGGAAAGCTGCATCTGTGAATCTCTCCTAGGAGGGGAAGGGGGTCGAGAAGGGAGGAGGAAAGGATTAACATTTTCCTCCTGCGGCCTGAAATGTCCCCTTTCCTTCGAGGTGGAGGCGGAACTAAATGGACTGAAGGTGAATTATAGCGTTCTTCCTCGTCCTCCTCTCCATCTTCCGCGTCTGTTTGTAAAGGCTCTAAAACTGACTGGACTATCCGCCAAGTAATCCAAATTGTTGCTGGGAGAGGAACGCCTGAATACTGTACGTCAAGGAGTTCATCACCGATTTCCTCCCATGCTTTTAAGTCTACTATTCCTAAATTAGGTGACCAGGAACAGTAAGTTTCAATTACCCTTAAAGCTCTTCTAATCTCTGGTCTGAAATTCGAGCTTCCCCAGCTTTAAGAAGCTGTTTGAACAGACTAATATAAGGTCTGTCTTGGCTGTCAGCATTTCCCATGTTAGTAACAAGAAAGAAAGTAAGCCTTTCGCTCAGATTTCATTCAGATGCTCCTCTGGCCGCGTCCCTCGTGGGACTGTTTGTCTTGGCTGAAGGCGCTCCGGTATAAGCCCCCGGACTAGGGAACAAGTGTCCGAAAACAAATGCCCAGTCGCCGTTATGCCTTACCACAAATTACGGAACCGCAGATTGGAGCATACTCAAGCTTCGTGGTTAACACCGTGAAGCTGCAATCAGTCACTCATATATTCACACACAAGTTTTTTAGTAAATTCCCTTTTGCCCTGGTTAAATTCCCCCCGGATATTCCCTACCTCTTTATCCAGTAATTGCCGCTGCTCCTCCCTGGGGCCCTATCGCCCTTAAACCTTTTATCTTAGACTTGGAGTCTCTTCGAGGCCCCACGTTGGGCGCCAGATATCACGTCCAACGTGACAAGGGCTGGGATTTTGAGGAGGGGCAGCGACGGTTTAAGAAATCACAAGAGTCAAAAACAGTTTCTGTGGGCCAGGGGTCTCCTCTCTGCAGACTGAGAGAGTAAGCCCTGATACTGGCGGGTGAATAAGTTTTACTTACAACTGTCACAAAGAAGTCAATTTGAATATCTATACTCAGTTAATTGATTCAATTAGACCGGCAGCTGCTTCACTGAAACTCATTGTGATCAAGCACGAGTTGTGGTTTCACACATACCTATGATCCCCCGATGGCCTCAGCTTTCCAAGACCACCGGATAAAGAAGTTTTACCGAGATCATTCCCTCGGGTCTTAGCATTCCAAGACACTTCCTTATAACTTCAAAGGATCAGTGCGCAGGAGCATTAGAGTAGAAAGCTGCAAGACGACATGATTCTATATGATTTTTATGAAGATTATTTCTTAAATGCACAGAGCAATGCCTGGCACTCACTCATGTTACGTATCTATTAAATAAGCTAAAATTTTATAACATTGCACATGTTGTTTAGTATGATATAAATGTAACTGTATTTAATATGGACATATCAATGGACATTATAGTAAACTAAATAAGCTTGGGACTCTTAGAGAATGACATCAGCTCACTGTTGGTGGAGGCCCAATAGTGATATTTTTCCCTCTAGTAATGCAAAAATATAAGTTCTTCCCCGATTTTTTCAGTGTAGGAATGCTTAATTCCTCCTTTTGCTACCAATGAAAACTCCTACCTCTTTCCTTCTTCCTGATTTGCTTCTCCTTAAGTTCTTCTCTTGGGTGATTTCATTCATTCATTCATTCTTTCTTTCTTTCTTTTTTTCTTTCCTTTTAAATAGATTTTATTTTTTAAAGCAGTTCTAGGTTCATAGAAACACCGAGCAGAAATGCAGGATTCCCGTCACACCCTCTGTCCCTACACGCAGAGCTTCCCCACTGTCACCATCCCACAGCAAAGTGGTACATTTGTTACCATCGATGAGCCTATATCCTCTCACCTGAAGTCCATAGTTTACATTAGGGTTCGTTCTTGGTGTTGTACATTTTGAGGGTTTGGATAAGCCTATAATGACATGTATCCACCACTATGATATCATACAGAAAGTTTCACTGCCCTGAAAATCCTCTGGCTCTGCCTGTTCACCCCTCCTCTCCAAGCCCCTGGAGACCAGTGATCTCTTCAGTGTCTCCAGTTTTGCTTTTTCTGAAATGTCTTGTAGTTGGAATCATACATTCTGTAACTTTCTCAGATTGGCTTCTTTCACCTAGTGGTATGTATTTAAGGTTCCTCCACATCTTTTCATGACTTGATAGTTCATTTCTTCTTAGTGCTAAATAATGTTTTATTATCTATAATTTATTTTTGAAAATATAAAGATTTCTTTAGGAAATAAAAGCAGAAAATAATTCACTAGCATACTTTATGTTTTTATTTGTCTTTATGAAGTGTGACAGTCAAGTATTAGGGTGCAGGTCTGTGCCCTGATTACCGTTAGGAGAAAATCAAAACTCTTGGCCACATCTTACAGGATCTTTTTTATACAAACTCTCCAATCTTGTTCCACCCATACAAATTACAAGCTGTGATTTTGAGCAAGTTACACAAACTAAAGAATGGTTTTCTAATATGAAAATTTAGATAATAATAACAATAACTTCATAATTTGTTAATGTGATTACATTAGGTAAGGTATTTTAATGTATACTGCAGTGTTTGGGATATAGTGGGTCTAAAAATGGTAGCTATTATTGTTATGCCAATGTAAATAGTAACATTGATAATTATAATCATAACGTATATGTCTTCTTCTGGACTAGATTTCTTTTTCCAAGAGCTCCCATTAACCCTTATTTTAATCTTTTGTACCTCCTGTTTTATCTCCCTGTTGTTCGTATAGTAACTGGGGTTATCAATGGCTTCCAAGGTACCAAGACATCCCTGGGAAATTAATGTTTTTTCTGGAGAGTATCTTCTGGATTTTGCTTATGTAAAATGTATGTGATGAGAATGCAGGTAGCTGATTAAATAACTCAGTGAGCTTTACTCAGCTAGCCACTCCTCACAGTCTTTATTTTGTACCCTCTAAGAGCAAACAGCAGAGCTTATTTTGGGGAAAAATGAACTACCACCTCTTCAGTTCTAACTCTCCACCAGAATCTGCAATTAGCATGTCATATACACAATTTACTTTATCTAAATAGTAACCCTCCCAAGCAGATACTGTCTACAATTTAAAGTTAAGAAGACTGAGGTTAATGGAGATTATGTTATTTGTTGTAGGTCACAAAGTTTATAAATTGTGATATAAGTATACTTTTCTCAAAATTGGTTGTTGTTTACATCATATTTCATGGTGTCTCAGTGATAAGTTAAAGGAAAAAATGAGCACGTTTTAGACAATTATCTTCTCTCCCAGGGAATATCATTCCATTTCCTTCTACGTCCCCACTGCCAAACCCTAAATACAAGAACCAGAGAATTTAAATAAATGTCCCAGGAAGAAACACGCCAAATCACATTCCCCTTCTGGTTTCTGAAACCTCCAAACATATTTTCAGCACATCACAAAGTTCAGGGATAGTTGGTGCTGGGCACCAAGTAAATTGTCCATGAATGACTTTCTTCCATTGAGAACTTTCATTAAAAACGTTTACCCAGAGACAAATGAGAACGTAAGTTATTGGGTTGATTGGCTTTTCCCCCTAGGAACTGTCCAATCCTAAAATTCATAGGAGGTTTCCTCATTTTCATTTTTTGCAAAGTGAACATCAGGTTACTTGGTGGCAGCCGTGCTGACTGCCAGTGCCTTTGTTAAATGTTTCTGCTTCACGTGGAGATGACTGTGACAGTCCCCAGGAGCCCTGGGACTGTGGCTGGAATTGTGATGTTTATTTGCATGGTCCTGAGGACTCCCATGGCTCACCATAGAGATGCTCCAAGTAAGTGCTGGACAGCTACTCTTCAGAGCTCCCAGGTCTGGGAATTAAGTTCTTGAAGGCTCTGGGGCTTAGGGTCAGGGGTGTCGCACTCTGATCAAATCCCAGGTAGAATTTGGAAGGGCTTCTATGACAGTCCCAATTTCTCCTCAAGAAAATATAATTTTGCTAGATTTTGTGTTTTAATCTCTAGGTTGAAGGGAGGATAGTTTCTCTCAGGGAAAAAACTTTGGGATCTCAGGGTTGAAAGAAAAAGAGAAAGTACGTTTCTATACCAAATGGAAGACAAACTTATCACACTATTATTGACTAGATTCCTCTTCACTTTTTTCACTGATTCCTCCACCCCCACTCCCTCCTGGGCACCAGCAGTTTTTTCTTTCTATCAGTCAGTCTGTTGTTTGTTTGTTTTGATTTTTAAAAACTCTTTATATAAGTGAAATTATGCCGTGCTTATCTTTCTCAATCTGACTTATTTCACTTAGCATAATACCCTCTAGGTCCATCCATGTTGAAAATGTTAATAAACTTTGCACTGACAGACGTTTACTGAACTTAATGTGGTGTTCACAGTGTAAGATATATAAATGTCAAATCACTGCGTTGTACACCTGAAACTAATATAATATTGTATTCCAACTGTACTTTAATATGAAAACAGACAGACAATAAATGGGAAAATGCATATAAGATCACTTGAGAAATATGAAGAAACCCAGAGAGTAAGTTAAAAGGATTTGCCACCCGAGGGGCTTTCTGTGCCAAGCGGTGTTCATGTACTATCGGACTCAGGATTGAACACATTCAGACAGCCATCATCTCTGTAGCTTCAGTATCAGCAGAGCACGATTTCCCAGGCCTTGAGTGTAAGCAGCAGGGTCATGGAGAGCACGTTGAAGTGTCTGAAATGAGAACCCTCAGGGGATGAGGACAGGCAGTGACTGGCACTAATTTTGCATTTAGTTACAAACTTGAGTCAGTGTTGATGGTGAACAGGAATATAAGGATGGTGGAAAAACAAGGAAATTAGGATTTCTTTTGCACCCTCTAATTCCCAAATCTTGTAGTAATGTTACGCAAACCGCCTCGCTTAATGTGTTTTTTTGTTTTTTGTTTTTTTTAATTGGGGAATTGGGGAAGGGAAACAGCCAAATTGTTGTCCTTCAGTCTTAGTTGTGGAGGGCACAGCTAGCTCAGCTCCAAGTCCAGTTGCCATCCAGCTGCCACTCAGCAGCTCGCGACTGCTCAGCTCAAGGTGCCGTGTTCAGTCTTAGTTGCGGGTGGGTGTAGCCCACCATCCTATGCGGAATCATCTGGCGACCCTGTTGATCAGAGCTCGTGCTCTTAACCAACCGAGCCACTCAGCTGGCCTCAGTTAATGTTTCTATAACACACACACACACACACACACACACACACACACACACACACACACTGATGACTAAAGTGCATTATTAGCCCACATTTTTTACATTAGTTATTTTGAAATATCACATAATATAGACATTATAGAAAGCATATATATATATATATAATTTAACAAAAAATTATAAAGAAATACCCAAATAATTAATAACCAGGTCTAAAATGACTGAATATTACCAGCACCCAAAAATCTCCCATGTATCTTCTCCAAATACCACCTACTTCTACGTCCCAGAAGTCAGCACTATTATGACTCTTGCAATCTTAATTTTATTGTTTTTTGTTATGGGTTTAGCATATGTGAATGTATCCTTCAATAATATCAATTAGTATTTATCCCTTTAAATGTTCGATAAATGTTGTATTCTGTCTTGTTCCTTTTGTTCAATATCCCATTTGAGAAGATCTGTCCTAGGTCTTTCATATTACAGTTGACCATCTATTTTCATTGTTGTGTAGTAGATTCTATTTTATGAGGGTGCAACAGTGTGCTTACCCATCCTTATGTGCACTTTTGGGTTGTATTTTCCCCCCATGTAACCTGGAACATATGTACCTACATTGGGTTAGACTAGAGTATATACTGAGATTGGAATTGGTGGGTCTAAAAGGTTTGCAGATCCTTAGCTTTACAACAGAATTCCCACCTGTTATTCAGATGGTTTCTGTGTCCACTCCCACAGCGGTTTATAAGAGGACCCAATTCTTGGCAGGTTGATGTTTTAGACTTTTTTATGTTTCCCTATCTTGTTGGTATGTACTGGTATTTCACCATATTTTTAACTAATTAGGATGAGCAATTCTACATGTTTATTGTCCACTTCTGTTTACTCTTGATTGAAGTATCTATTTAGATATTTTCTTCTATTATATTATCTGTCTTTTCTTATTTGTTTGTAAAAAATATAAAAATATATTGTGAATCGAGCCTAGTATCAGTACGTGCTTTGCAGATACTTGTTTGCACTTTGTGACTTGTCTTTTTTTTTAGCTCTTAATGATATTTCTTGATAGGCAGAAGTGGTTCTTTTTTTTTTTTAAGATTTTGTTGGGGAATTGGATGAGGGGAACAGTGTTAGGGAATTGGGGAAGGGGAACAGACAAGTTGTTGTCCTTTTGTTCTTTATTCTAGTTGTGGAGGATGTCACTTCACTGGCCCATGTTGTTATTGTGATCATTGCGCTCTTCCCAGGTGAGGCAGTCGGTGCCAGCCATAGGACAGCCGCTTTTGGTGACTCACAGCAGCTCACACCAGCTGCCAGCCACTCACGCTGGCTGCTGGCTACTCATAATAACTCATGGCAGGCCACTGCAGCTCCACTGCAGCCTACGCCATCGCCAGGGACTCATGGCAGCCCCAGCTCCAGGTCGAGCTGTTGTTCACCATCTTAGCTGTAGAGGGTTCAGCATCACTGACCCATGTGGGATCCGATCTGGCTTCCCTGGTGCTCTGAGCTTGTGCTCCCAAGCCAGCTCTTAACCAATGAGCCACTTGGCCCACTCCATTAATTGTTTTGCTTTACATTCAATTTTGTTCAATAAATGTTCAATGCAGGATTTGTGGCAGAAGTCATCTAAGTTCTTCCTGGAGAGAAAATTCTGAGGGTTGAGATCAGGTTTTATTTATAATTGGCTGTGCTGGTATTTTCCTTCCCTTCCCCATGCCTCCCCACACTAATTGGTTGGTTGAGATGCCAGGCTGAATTCAATCTAATGCGGACGGGCTCTCCCACAGAGGATTTCGTGTACCAATTTAAGGGCATGTGCTACTTCACCAATGGGACCGAGCGTGTCCGGCTCATGGCCAGACAAATCTACAACCAGGAGGAGACTCTGCACTTCGACAGCGACGTGGGGAAGTTTGTGGCTGTGACAGAGCTGGGGCGGCTGAATGCTCAGAGCTGGAACAGCCAGAAGGACCTCCTGGCAGAGTATCGGGCCCTGGTGGACACACTGTGCAGACACAATTATAAGGAGACTGCTCACTTCACTGTGCAGCGGAGAGGTGAGTTTAGGATGAGCTCAGAGGCACATCACCCAGAACCCAGTGGGGAGGCCCAGGAAGGGACCTTTCATGGATTCCTAAGATCTTGGTGGTGCTGGGAGAGGTTTTGAGTTCCATGGGAAAAAATGTTGCAAGGCTTGGCTGGACAGTTTAGAGGAGGTGGCCGGGGAGAGAGACTAAAAAATCTAAGCAGGAGGTACTCTACATCTGGGGCAGCTGGGGCAGCATCTGGCATGGTCAGTGTTCTCAACTTCAATCCTTCAAAGGTCACCAGGCCCAGCCCTAGCTGGCGGGACCTCTGAGCCTCTCATTTTGCACAGACTCCTACAGCTCCTGCAACATCTAATTCTTGTTTGCTGCCAGGTAGCGTTAGAGCTGGTCTCCCAACTGTGTGTGTGTGTGTGTGTGTGTGTGTGTGTGTGTGTGTGTGTGTGTATTATATATAATCAGTCCATGTTACAAATAGTTTTCACATAAATTATTTTGTTTAATGAACAGGTAAACACTACACAAAAGTATTATTTTCCTGAAAAGTAGCTTAACAAATTAGCTGATTAGAACTCGGAGCTGGGATTCTAATAATAGCCTATTTAAAACCTGTTTTCTCTTCTACTTTAGTATCAGAGGAGGGACTTAAGCCCATGGTGAGAATTTCTTTGCAGCCTCACCCTCTGCCTTTCGTTGTCTGTTATTCCTTCCAGTGGCGCCCACAGTGACCATCTCCCCAGCCAAGACAGAGGCCCTAAACCACCATAACCTGCTGGTCTGCTTGGTGACAAATTTCTATCCTCGTCGAATTAAAGTCAGATGGTTCCGGAACAAACAGGAGGAGACAGCTGGAGTTGTGTCCACGCCTCTTATTCAGAATGGGGACTGGACCTACCAGGTTCTTGTGATGCTAGAAGTAACACCACAGCGTGGAGACATCTACACCTGCCACGTGGAGCACCCCAGCCTCCAGAGCCCCATCATAGTGGAGTGGCGTAAGGGACATTTCATTGACACCACAGACTCAGAAAACACAAAGGGCAGGGGGACTCCGTGTCTGGTGGGGTGGGGTTCCTCCTTAACTCTCTGTGTTGTGCATATTTCATACTGTCCATCCTACATGACTCTCTGATATAGTTTCTGGGCTGGGAGTTAGGGAAGACTGAGATCCCATTATCTCAAGTCAAAAGGCACATGTTGAGTACCGATCTCATTTTCTCGCACGACATTATGGCAACCCCTGTACGTAGCCTGACCCCCCAGCTGCAGTTCAGCCTTGGTGGTGTCTTCCGAAGTGCTGGAGTTCTTGGCTTTGACATAAAGGCTGGTGTCTTGGAGAGGGTCTGTTGGCAGTTCCCAAGGAGCTGCCATCCCCTTCTGGTCATCTATCTATGCCGCCCCCTAGGGGTCTATGCATGCCCTCGGCCTTCCTGTATTTGCTTCCAGAGCTCCTCTGATTCTTGTAGCCTGGATTAGACCCCAGGCTTGCAGAACAGGACCCTGTGGGGTGTGGGGTGTGGGAACAGACACTGACACCCAGGCTTTTACTTCCCAGAGGCACAGTCTGAATCTGCCCAGAGCAAGATGCTGAGTGGAACTGGGGGTTTTGTGCTGGGGCTGGTCTTCCTTGGCCTGGGCTTTATCATCCACCTTTGGGATAAGAAAGGTAAGTCACCTTGGGAGAAAATGGGGGAGACGAGTCCTGGAACTGAGGCATTTTGTTGTAACTTTTTCTCACTGACCCCACAAAGGAAGGGAAGGGGAGCTGAGGTGGGATGCTCGTAGATTGCAGAAATTAGGGAGACTAGGAGGTCTCCTCATCCTGGGTCAAGTTCAGCTCATCACAGAGGTGAGTGGTGAAGGGTTGTTCTTAGATAGACAGAGAAGAGCAGCTCTCATGCTATCCTTACCTTTGCCAGGCCATTCTCAGTATGGGGCTCCTGCTCTGAGCGTCCTTCCTTAAAAGACACACAGTCTGTTTATCTCCCTCAGTGCCTGGCTCAATGACTTTGGAGTGATCCCACTTCATGGCACTTGAAGCTTATTTAAGTACATGGGTGGGAGAGCAGGGAAGAAGGGTCTGGAGCTGCTCATTCATTTCCTTTGGAGGGTGAGATAAAAACAGATGCAATGTTTTCATTACCCAGGTTAATGAGTTTTTTATCCCTTACTTTTTTCATGCTTGCCAATGATAGAACATCCTGAGGGCCCACCCGCAGGTAATATTCCCAGTCTTCTTGCCCAGAAGAGTGACTCACATAAGATAGAAAAAGGACTAGAGTGGATTTGTCTGGACACTCCGGGGTGTTCTGTTATGTTGTGCTTGCTTCATGCCACATTCACTCACACATGAGTTGGGGCAGGGAAAAAGTCTAGAACATTCTGCATAGTCTCTGCAGAAAACTTCAGAGATCCTTCCCCTGACTAAGACCCAACCTTTGGCTTCAGCCATTCAATGAGGTTTGGATGATGGCCCCAGAGTCCAAAGTTACAGAAAGTGCTGCTGAACTTGCTGGTAGGCGAGATGACAGATAATGACAGTTGTTACCCTTCCCCGTAGTCCATGGCCTGTGCTCCACTAAAGCATTTAGTTATGATCCTCTGCCCCCACCTGCCCCTTCAGGCTGAAGCCTGGTGTGCACTTTAGCAGAGGTTTGTCATTACCCATTGACAGGAGAGGTAATGCAGAGCCAGTGTGTGTCCTGACTGCAGACAGGCCCCAGGGAGGGCAGGGGCACAGCTTCCTCGGGGATGGTGTGACTTAGGACTCTTTCTTCTCTCTCCTCCAGGGCTTGTGCAGTGACCCAAACATTCTTCTTCCTGGAATCTGTCACCTCTGTTTTTTGGTCATATCCTGCCATCACCCTTGTCTATGGTTCCCAGCCTCCCCTCTATCAGGCCTGGAGCAAGCCACCTCTGCCAGCTGTCGCCTATAGCGGTCCTGCTCCCACAGTGACGAGAAGCAGCTGCCAGGGCTTCCTTTTGTCCTTGGCTGTCCTGCACTTCTGCCTGTGACTGATTTGCAGCCTGGTGCTGGAGGCACTGCTCCCGGGGCTGCCAGTGGGTCTGTTTGCACCATAAGTATTTTCAGCAGGCGTTTGAGGTTTTGTTCTCTTTCTGAAGACGGCCCAGGAACTAAATGTCAAACTCTTATCTTTCAATAATATGTTATCAAAATTAAATCGATTTTTGAATCACTTGTGTTTCTAAGTCTGATTGAGGATGATGGTGGTTGTGGAAATACTGAGCAAAGAAAAGGTGATATTCTCAAGTTCAGTTCTGCCCCAAAGAAGGTAATATCCAGGCAAGGAGACTAGAAAACCATGGGTCCCCATACTTGGTCTAATTCAGGTGCCACATAAGAATGGGAAATAAGTAGGAAATAAATTCAATTTTTCATCATCTGTAGGGCCTTGAAGCTGGGATTGTGTGCAGCAGTCTTTCCTGGCCCCCATTGTAGTCTGTTGAGTTTTATGTATTTGTGCAAGTGGAATTATGCTGTGCCAGTCATGGTACCTTGGGCCTGATGAACCGAGCTGATAGCACAAACATCTCCTGTCAAGTACACGGTGTCCACTGGGACAAAAGACAATGATTGTTCATTGAGCTGAACTACCCGAATGTAATTAGTGGAGGTTTTATTAGGAAGTCCTTTTTTGGTTGTATATGATGAAAGCCCCACTAATACCAGCATAAGGAAAATAAATAATTTTTGGATTCATGCAATTGGAAAGCTCATATGTGAATTTGGCTTTAGAAAAATGCCAAGAACCCAGGACTCAAATGAGGTCTTTATCCCTCCTCTCTCTGCCCTCTCTCCTCCCTCTGTCCTCACTCCCTCCTCTCAGAGCACTTCTTTCTCTTTCTACGCTGTATCTCTGTCTTTCTCTCCATATCTCTTTTGCCATCTCTGTCTGTCTTAAGGACCCTCTATTTTTCTGTTAATCTATTAGTTGGTTTTTCTGTGTGTCTCTGTATCGCATTTCTCCTTATAGCCCTATCTGCTTATGAATTTCTCTCTGTTTCTGTCATTTCCTCTCCCTTCTCCTCTCTCTGTGACTCTTTCTGTCATGTGTACCTTTCATCTACTGTGTCTTTCTCTCAGAGCGTCTCTCTGTCCGCCTCTTGGTTTCTCAGTGTATTGGCCTGTGTGCCTTCCTGTCATTTTCTAGCTCTCTGTCTTCTGTTCATTGCCTTTCTCTTTATCTATAGTCTCTTTCTGTTATTTGTCTGTCTGCTTCTCTCTCTGTGTTTTTCCTCCTGTGTGTCTGCTTTCTCCTGCCCGTGCTCTGTGTATGTCTCTCTGCGTCTGCTTTCCCCTGTTTGTTTCCCTTATTTTCTCCCTCGGGAGTCAGCATTTTCCACATGGCTAGTAACATGGCCACCTCACATTTTCATTCCATCACCTACATAGCAAGAGACCATTATGTCAGCTCCAATTTAACAGTCTGGAGAAAGCCCAGCTTGAGTGACAATCCAATTTTTCAACCTGTTACCTTAGACATGGGAATGTGGGACCCTGATTGTCCAGGCCTTGGGTTTGAACCCATTCTGTATCATGGATGGAGACTTTTTTTTTTCCAAATCAAAACTGGAGAAAGTGCAAGGCTGGTTAGATAATAGTAGTAGTAACAATATCATCATCATCTATCATAATCCATTATACAAGACTCTGTTACATGAAGTTTTTCTCTCTCTGCTTTTCTGTTTCTTATTTATATTAAAAAATTTAGTACCACATAGAGAATACAGTCAATAATGTTGCAACAACTATGTATAGTGCCAGATGGGTACTAGACTAATCGGAGGATCACAGCATCAATTATATAAATGTCTAACCACTATGCTGTACATCTGAAACTAATACAAAATAACATTGAATGTCAACTGTAACTAAAAAATATATAAATAATTTAAAAAGAACATATAGGGAAAAAAATTCAGAGGATGCTATCCTGTAAGTAGAAGCTATGTAGTCCGTGTATAACCAACGCTTCACTTGCCCCATTCTATTGGGGAAAATACGAAATCGCATTGACCTCCAAGACCAGGATCTCTGATGATATGATTTTCTTTTTCTGCCGTGGACATGGCTTTTATGGCCCTACAAACTGTGGTGAAATGATGAATTCAGCTTCTTTCAATACAGAAGGAAATAATAGCATAAGCACAAGACTATAACCAGCAAAGGGTGAAAGGGTTCAGAGCATGTCCTGCTGATCAGCTGGTAGAGTGAGGCTGGTCACACAATCCAGCTGGGTCTTGGTTCTGTTCCCAAGAAGGGGCTGTCTTGTCCCCCATCCTACATGATCTCTTCTGTGAGGTGACACAGGGCAGGATTCTGTATGTCACATAATTTATGGTCCTCTTCATTTGGTGTGGGCATGGCAGTGGGTGTGGCCACACTGGATGCTGTGGAATACTCTAGGCATTGTGCAATCTTAAATTCTTTTTGAAACATTTTCTTTTCACCCTAATGGGAAATCTGGTAGGTAGTAGCTAAAACTAAATTTTTGTTGAGTTGAGATCCTTAAATGTAGCCTTAATTCTTGTAGTTTCTCACTTTTTAGTACAGGTTTAGCTGTTCCATTCACAGTTCCAAGTCTTAAGTATACCTAGTTGCTTCTCCCATGAATGGGCAGGAAAGCATGGCAAAAAGACACACTCCTCTGACTAATCGTCCTAGGTCACATTCCAGTAAACAACTTTTTAAATGGGAAACAGTTGTACCTTTATCAGGAAAGAAGTACATTACATTATATTTGGAACATTCCTAAATGGTCATTCCACACCCTCATGCAAATATTTCCTTGACTCTGGGTAGCCATCACTTCTCTTCCCATATGTTCCCTTTTTGTCAACACTACTTCCAACAATGTCATTATGAAGCAAATAACTCCATTTTTACTGGTTCCATATAGTGCTTAATTGTATGCAGTTCACACTGTTATCTTGGATTTTTGGATTAACAAAAATGACTACTATTTATGCTCTTGCACGGATTGGCTTGAAGAGAAATTTGATTATTTCTTGTTGTATTGTATCAATCATACACCACTACTTTTTTTTTCTTTTTCTTTAAGCTGAGCCATCCTGCTACCGGTTGGCAGCTCTGTGGCTGCTCAGCTCGGGCCAGGAATCGAACCACTGTTGCACACAGCTCAAACTCTTGAGCGAGCTCTTAACCAACTGAGCCACTCGGCTGGCTCACACCACTACTTTTTAATGTTATAACTTTACTCATGGTCTGAGCACAGGAGATATTTTATTCAGCTGATATATTCCCATACAATACCAATTGCTATTCCTGACATAAAGGACACATTTCAATTTAAACTCAGGTGATTGTATGTGATAGTTTCTGCCATATACAAAACCAAATTCCAAGTACTAGTTTTAGTTTTATTCAAGACTGTTTCAGTTGCAATCAATAGGAAACCAAGTCAAACAATAATAAGTCAAAACCTTCCCTCGGGCCGGCCGAGTGGTGCGTTGGTTAAGAGCTGGCTTGGGATGTCAGCTCTGAGCTTCAGGGCCCCGGTTCAGATCTCACATGAGGGCCAGTCATATTGCCCTCTACAGCTAAGATGGTGAACAACAGCTCGATCTGGAGCTAGGCTCCTGTGAATCCCCGGCAATAGCATAGGCTGCAGCCCCTGCTGCAGTGGGCTGCCATGAGCTACTGTGAGCAACCGTCCAGAGGCCGGCGACCGATCTGCCTCACCTGGGAAGAGCACAATGATCACAATACCAACATGGGTCAGTGAAGCAAAGTCCTCCACAACTAGACTGAAGAACAAAAGGACAACAACTTGTCTGTTCCCCTTTCCCCATTCCCCAATGCTGTTCCCCTCCCCCAACTCCCCAATAAAAATCTTAAAAAAAACAAAAAACTTTCCTGAATCATTACATCATCCCTGAATTAAGGGAGCTTGTATAATAACTTCAGGTAGAAAAATTTTAGGGAAGGATAATTTTTGGACATGCTGGGTCATGTATTCATCCCTGAATCAATTGCTTTGTTGTGACGAATTATTTGATAGGCTAGATGAAGGTCAGTTACTCATTGCTGTATTCATGGGGATGCTATCTCATCAGGAGTAGGAGGGAAGTTACTGGGAAATGCAATAGCTACTGGAGTTACATAATAGAGCATTTCTCACACACCCTACCCAATATATACAAGCTACTACTGTCTACTTTTAAGGGGATCATCAGGAAAAATACAGTTGCCAAAGTTAGGGGCATTATTACATTGATAGCATTGAAGATTTGTCATGTCTGTGTGAGTTTATTTGATTGTAAACATTTTGAAGTATTGCTCTCTAGAATGCTCTGTTACTTCTAGAAAGGGATCAATAACAGGTTATCTTCTCAGAGTTCTGCCATAATTTAGGGTTTGAATAATCAGATTGGATTCTTATAAGATGCTAGATGCTGCTTATTTTAAATAAGACTTTAAAAGTATGTTCTCTGCCTTTAGCTTCTTCCATAGTCTATAGTTTAGATTTACTGGTTTTATTTAATAGAAAAAATAATATAAAGGCATCAGGAAATGGAGAAATTGTCATTGATTTGTCACATTATCTCACCTTCCACATCTAACCTATCAGTGAATTCTATCAATTAAATGATAAAATATTTCTCAGGTTAGTCAATTTCCCCATAGCCACTCAAGCTTAAGATACTGTCATTTCTCTTCTGAATTATTGAAATCGTCGCCCACTCATTTGCCTACTTCTTTGAGTCCTGTAATACATTTCCACACACCAATCAGAAATATTCTTAAACCTTAATCACATCACATCTATATTGTGTTGAAAGATCTCAAATGCTTTCATACAGCACTTAGAATTAAATCTAAATTTCTTACCTGGCTAACAAATCCTCTGTGACCTGGCCTTTGCCTGGACTTCTGAGTTCATTGTGTGCCTTTCCATTATCCCCCTTTATTAGTTTTGGTAACCCTGACTGCTATAAGAAATGTTTTAAAAATTCAGTGGATTAGCAACATAGGAGCTTATTTCTTATTCACATTACAGTTCGTAGTCAGATTCCTGGTTGTCTAGCTATTTTCCTCCTCATGGTGATTCAGGAATCCAGGCTCTTTCCATGTTGTGGTCCATTCTTTAGCATGGCTCCTTACCCCTACTTCCAAAGATGGAAGGTAGAAGAGAGGGCGTGGAGAAAGCATACC